CAGCTCCTCCGTGGGCTGGATCTAGGGGGGGGGCAGGGCAGCCTGGGGGGTGTGCCCAGCTCCTCCGTGGGCTGGATCTAGCAGGGGGGCGCCCATGGGGGACTTTGTCCTGACGGCGCCCAGGGCAGCACAGCAGCAGCAGCATGGGCTTTCTGGGGGCTCAGGGGTGACGAGCCTGACCTCGGGGTGCTGCCCGCTCACACCACACCTCGGAACCTTTTGCCTTTCTTGGCTCTGCTAGGGTCCCGTGCTTTTGCACGATCTGTCCTCAGACCGTGTGTTTCCGGCCCCTGCTGCCAGAGTAGCTGGGATTACAGGCAGCACCACCAAGTCTTTCCAAGTTGGTTTTTAGACAGATGCCACCCTGTCCCCCGAACTGGCCTGACCCCCCGTGGGGATCCCAGCGTGCCCCCACCCCTGTCGGGCCAGGCATGGGCTCTTAGTGGGTGCAGCCCCCCTCTACCCCTGGAGTGCCACGCTGCTTGCATGCCAGCACCACAACTCCAGGACCAACCAGGCCGCTTCCGCTCCAGTCCCCAGCTGAGGTTTCGCCGCTGACGTCGGCAGCCAGGTCCTCCAGGGACAGGTCCTCCAGGGACAGGATGTTGACTCTGAAGTCTGGAATGAAGATGGCGGCCGGAGCCCCGCCTTGCCTCTGCGGGGCGGCCTGGCCCGGCTGCACGCTTGCGCTCTGGCTGAGGGCCAGCGTGCCTCCCCGGCCCTCTGCGTCTGAGCCGCGGCCCACCAACCAGCCAGAAGCCACGGGGGCCACCGTGTGACGCTGGGTGGGGGCTGAGCTCAGGCACCGGCACCCCGCACCCCTGCGCCACCCGGGCTGTGAAAGCCAGGACGTCCTGGCCCGTGGACGGGAAGCAAGGCGCTGTCCTGACAACAACCGAGAGCCGGGCGCCGCGCTGAGGCGACACCGGAGGACGGTGGTTCAAAGCCAGCCTGCGCAGGAAAGTCCTCGAGACTGATCTCCAGTGAGCCACTCAAAGACCAGAAGTGGCGCTGTGGCTCAAGTGGTAGAGCGCCAGCCTCGAGCACAAAGAGTCTCAGCGGCAGCGCCCAGGCCCTGGGTTCAAGCCCTACAACTGACAAAAAATGAAAACCAAACCAAAGACGCCTGCGTCTGCCCCCTGCGTGTGGAGCTTCCCGAGCCTGTGAGAGCGACCTCCGCCCCGCGCTCCCAAAGAACAATGAAAAGGGAAGCACATCGCAGGGTTGGCCGTAGCTCTAGAAGGTTCTTTTCCCAGGTTGCTGCTGTAATGGGTCGGAGTGGGTGACGTGGGCCCTGAAACCCCTCTGCTGAGATCCAGGTGAACCCCGCTGCACGGGCTCGGGAGCAGCCGGGGTGTCGTGGACCTGCGGCTGCCCAGGCCCTGCGGAGGCGGAGCCTGAGCCGCGGGCGGGGCGCTGGGCGCACAGTCCCTCCCCCCGGAGGACTTTCATCCTACGGGGACTGAGGATGGCCTTGCTCCGGGCTACGTCCCCCTCCCTCGGCACACCGCCACGCCTGGCTTATTGTGTGAACTAGGGTCTCACCAGCTGGCTTTAGACAATCCTCCAAATCCCAGCCCACGCCCGGTAGCTGCCGCCCCGCCCGGATGCCCCCTGCGCTGCCCAGGCAGTGGCCCTACCCTGCGGGCTGCCGGTGGCCGCTTCCGACGCCGGCGCGTTCCAGGGCCCCG